TAGTAGTAGTAGTAGTAGTAGTTGTAGTAGTAGTAGTAGTAGTGTTATTTGCATTAATAGTTGGACATGTTTTAACGTAGGAGTTTTGGCTACACTGGCAGTAGCAGTAGTAGTAGTAAGTAGTAGTAAAAGTAGTAGCAGTAGGAGTAGTAGAAGTAGCAGTAGGAGTAGTAGTAGCAGTAGTATTAGTTACAATAATATTATTTGCAGTAATACTTGTATGTTTCAATGCAGGAATTTTGGCCAGGTGGGTAATAGTAGTAGCAGCAGTAGTAGCAGTAAAAGTAGTAGTGATAGTAACAGTAGTAGTTGTAGAAGTAGTTGTAGTAGTAGTTGCAGTAGTAGTAGTTAATGTTATTTGCATTAATAGTTGGGCATGTTTCAACGTAGGGGTTTTGGCTACATGAGCAGTAACAGTAGTAGTAGTACTACTGCTAGTAGCACTAACAGTAGTAGTAGTAGTATTAACAGTAGTAGTAGTAACAGTAGTAACAGTAGTAGCAGTAATAGCAGCAGCAGTAGTGGTAGTAGTAGTAGTCATAGTAGTAGTAACAGAAATAGTAGTTATAACAGTGGTGATAGTAGCAGTAGTAGTAGTAGTAGTAGCAGCAGCAGTAGTAATTACAGTATTATTAGTCATGGTAATATTAATAATAATAGTGGTAGTAGTATTTTGCAGTAGTAGTACTTGTACATGTTTCAGTGCAGAAGTGTTGGCCCAGCGTTTGGTGCAGTTCTTCAGACAGAGCTGGTGTCCCTCTCGGCCGCACAGAGCGAGGAGCAGTCTGCGCAGTACTCTACGGGAGGTCAGTACGAGGATTCACTACTACTACTACTTCATACAGAAAACATTTAGTATACTGGTTCAGTCCTGGTTCAGTTCTGTTTTGGTCCTGGTTAAATTCTGATTTAGTCCTGGTTCAGTCCCATTTTAGTCTTGATTCAGATCTGGTTTAGTCCTGATTAAGTTCTGGTTAAGTCCAGGTTTGGTCCTTTTTTAAGCCTGGTTCAGTCTTTGTTTAGTCCTAGTTTAGCGCTGGTTTTGTCCTGGCTTTGTCCTGGTTCAGGTCTGGTTTAGTCCTGATTAATTTCTGGTTTAGGCCTGGATTCGTTCTGGTTCAGTCTTGGTTCAGTCCTGGTTTAGTCCTGGCTTAGTCCTGGTTTAGTCCTGGATTAGTTCTGGTTTAGTCCAACATTTGTTCTGGTTTAGTCCTAGTTTTGTTCTGGTTCAGTTCTGGTTTAGTCCTGGTTTAGTCCTGGTTCAGTTCTGGTTTAGTCTTGGTTCAGTCCTGGATTCGTTCTGGTTTAGTCCTCGTTCAGTCCTGGATTTGTTCTGGTTTAGTTCTGGATTCGTTCATGTTCAGTCCTGGTTTAGCCCTGGTTTAGTCCTGGTTTATTTCTGGTTTAGTCCTGATTTCATCCTGGTTTAGTCCTGGTTTAATCCTGTACACTTTACCAGTCTGTCCCAGGGCGGCTGTGGCTACAGAAATATCCTATGTGAGTTTTTGTCGTTGCAGTTACCAGGAGGGGAGTGTGTTGTGAGCTCAGACCTGAAGGACCAGATCCAGACCAGGACCCGGATGAGAGGAACCCTGCGCTGGACGCCCCCTACTGCTCAGATCATACTCACTACACACAAACACCACAGGTACACTGCTCCCTACTAGTGCTGTTAAGATACTAAAACATTATCCTGAAACGAAAACAAAATAAGTTAAAATGTTCATAAATTTCATCCTTTACATACAAGGACTGTTTTGCTTCACTCATTTTTAGTCTATCTTCTTCTAGAAAACTCAAAACACTCTGCTCCACCTTGTGACATCATCAGGTGACGATCCAGACATGCTCCAATATTAAGGAATAGACTTAATACTGATTCTGATACTTTCTTTAGACAATAGAATGTGATTTTCAGCGTTGAATGGCAGTACTTTCTGTGTAATCCTTAAGGGTCCAGGTAGGTTCCGTAGTACTAGTACTATGGAACTAATACTAATACTAGTCTATGTGTATGTGCTCTTATACTTGTCCAGATCATTCTAAAGCTTTTTAGAAAAGGTTCATTTCTGTCCTGCGAGTGTGACCTTTTTTGTATCGATACCATCTTAAATGAGTATCTTGTTTCGATACTAGTTTTAGAATGAGTTAGAATCTGATTTTCAATACTTTTGAACCCTATAGAGAACCTGCATTCACATGAACGTTTTTGTTTTGCATTCCAGTATACACGCATCAAGAATCTCGGACTTCCGGTCATTGCGCAATGCATACTGGGAAGGATTTTCCGAAAAAGTGAGCATCAAACCACCATGTTTGTTTTCCCAGTGGGATGTGTCTATTGACAAAGTTGATCTTTTTTAGTCTTTTGAACCATATTGCTTTTGTTTCTGGTTCTGACATTGTCATATTTTAGTTTTGGGATTCAGACATCGTTAATTGTGTGGTTGTTGGATCCTAACAGCGGAAAACGGCTCGAGAAATGTGTTTGCGAACTCCATAGATGCAAAAGGGATTCAGATGTGTGTGACTGTAAACCTCTGTTCAAACTGTTTCTCTTCCCAATGGAATTGAAAAATAGTGAAAGGTGAAGGCGATGGGCAGGATTGATCCATGGGAAGGACCAAAAAGGAAACCTTTGACTGTCTAAATCATCCTGAGTTTGCAGTGAACATTTTGTATGTGGAGCGCCATCAAAGCAAAACCCCGATCCCTCACTCAGCCTTGGTTACGAATTTAAAAAGTCAACTCCAAAGCGAAAGGCACCAGCTGTTCACCAAGAAACAACTTCTACTGCAAAGAGACCAAGACTTAGGCTGCGTTCAGACTGCAGCCTGAAGTGACCCAAATCCGATTTTGAATGAATATGTGCTCCTAAAACTGATACATATCTGATCTTTTGAAATGCAACTTCAGTGTGAACGGCCAAAGCGCATCCATCCACCTACACGTTATCAATGGACGTCGCTGCCGCTGTCCCACAAAACACCACGGCCAAAAACCTCGTCCTTCTCCTTCTCAATCTCCTCCTTAAAACAAGTAAGTTGTACATGTTCTGGCTCTGGTACGAGAGGAACTTTAAAATCTCCAGGTGCTCAATGCTCGTGTCCATGTTTGGACAACTTCCATAAACACAGAGCACGCTCACTGCGGTTGACGTCATCGTGTCTCCAGTGCAGGACACTTTTGGGCCGTTTTACGTTCACACAGCTGATTACATACAAGTCGCATTTAATTGGAAATGTGAACGACCTCGCAAAAACATCGGATTTCACAAAAAAATCGGAATTGAGCATTAAGCCCTGCAGTCTGAACAGTAGCCTTAATGTTGCTGTAAAACCACAAGAACAAGAAAGTGCAGCTCAGTCTGTTTGTCTTCTGTGCTTCTCGCTTAACAAATGGGATCCAGCTTTGATGGCTTTTTTGTCCTTCCTGTGGATCAATACTGCCCATCGCCTGGAAACAGTTTGAACGGAGTTTTGCAGTCACACACATTTGATTCCCTTTTGCATCTATGGAGTTCGCAAACACATTTCTCGAGCCGTTTTCCGCTGTTAGGAGATTCAACAACCACATAATTACAATGTCCGAATCCCAAAACTAAAATATGACAATATCAGAACCAGAAACAAAAGTGATATGGTTCAAAAGACTTGAAAAGATCGACTTTGTCAATAGACACATCCCACTGGGAAAATAAACATGGCGGTTTGATGCTCACTTTTTTGGAAAATCCTTCCCAGTATGAATTGCACAATGACTGGAAGTTGGAGATTCTTGATACGTGTATTCTTGTAACACGGAACTTCAACACACTCACTTCTCACTTAGACGCAAGCAATAAATTGAAGTATGAGGCAAAATTAAACTGCATTTCAGACCCATATTGCATCAACTTCAGCAATCAACTCCTCTCAGTGCACTGGATCATGTTTGAAGACTTTACAAGAGTCTAGACACGTACAAATATCTGACCTGTTTATGACCCCCTAGTGTGGTATCTTTCAACAAAGAAAATATCTTTGATAACTGTAAAAGTAATTGACTTTCTTACATCTTACATTACCTTAGCTAGAGTAAACTGTCAATAGCCCAGCTGTGAACTCGCTTCTATCTGGGTCAAGTCTTTGTCTAATTACCTCCGCCAAGGAGGTTATGTTTTCCGGCGTTTGTCTGTTTGTTTGTTTGTTTGTCTGTTAGCAACATAACTCAAAAAGTTATGGACCGATTTTGATGAAATTTTCAGGATTTGTTGGAAATGTGAAAAGGAAGAACTGATTTCATTTTGGGGGTGATCCGGAAGAAATCCTGGATTCTGGATCACTTTGAAATTTTAGTTAACATTGTGGTAAATGGGGCCAAAAATTTTGTTTCTCAATATCTCGATTAATTATTGACCAAACCCCATGAAATTTGACTCAGGGATGGACAATGGGATCCTCTTTCATATTCCAAATTGAAAGATACGAGACAAATATTTATGGAAAACACAATTAATATGAGGGGGACTGTAGTCCTTGGCGGAGGTCTGCGCTCTCTGAGTGCTTTTCTAGTTATGCACTGTTCTAGGCCCCATCCACACTAGTACGTATCTGAGTTGTTTTCATTGTGGATGCAGTGTTCGTCCACACTAATTCGATGGAAAACAGCTCTATTTGATCCGGCACTAATACGCTGATGTAGGTCTATGTGCCGCAAAGTAATTCACCGCCAAAATGCTAATCCAATCCAATCCACTTTATTTCTATAGCACATTACACAAACAAACAGTTCAAAGTGCTGCACAAATACATAATATAACAACAACAATAAAAAATATGATAAAATAAATGCTTAGATTTAATCATACTAGTCTTAAAATAATAAAACCAGTAAAATAAAATAAGAGCAAAACCTTAGAGCAAAATATTATAGTGTAGAGAGATCTTTGAGGTCAAAATAAGTCTGCTGGGTGCAAAAGCGTTTTATTCTAAGTCAATCAGGAATCATTTTTGTAGTTGTTAGCTTTACCGATACGGCAAAACTTCACTCTGGTTTCTGGAAGTTGTGAATAGCTCTCATAAACTCGTCGTGGTGAATAATTAGGATGTTCTGAGAGCGTAAGGTGTGTGGGGTTAAAACTTTGGAGCACTGCAAACTCTTCTCATTCTCATGCTTTTAAGATGGTAAAATCAAGTACACACATAAATACTATCCATAAGTATTATCGTTATTTTTGTACTTTTCAGACGCAGTGAAGTGGTAGCTGCTCAGAATTTCCTATGTGCAGGATGTGGCACCGAGCTGGAGCCCCGTGAGTAAACGTGATTTACTTTTAAAGAACAGTGTAACATTTACGATGGGAGTTATGCCATCTGCTTGTCTCCAGGGAAATTGATTAGATTGCCCGGAATGTTCCACACTGTTGCTTTAAACATATCTACCTTGTTTTTGTTTTTCAGTTGCAGGTGTTTTAACTTGACTTGCTTGTGTTTTTAGAGATAAGTCTAAATGCCATACTGTGGAATACTATAGAGCGCAACAGTCCCTGGTTCCGGAAGTAAATTTTCCATTAATTTATCCCATAGACTTTTTGAAAAATTGAAATAATAAGAGTTCGCAGAGGCAAACCAGCTTTGTGCTAACTCCGTATCCATGACTCAGTTGTTTTAAGGCCAAAAATAGGGTGACCAGATTTTCAAAATCAAAAACTGGGTCACTCTCGGTCTGGGGTGGTTGGTGGAAAGTTGTGAAACGAGTGCGTAATTAAGGAAAATTGTTATTCACTCAGTGAGTCAGTATATCATATTTATTTTTTGGATTATAAGTCACTCCAAAGTATAAGTCGCAGCAGCCCAAAAATGCGTAATGAAGAAGAAAAAAACATATACAGTATACAGTAAGTCTCAATGGACTATAAGTCGCACTTTTTGGGGGAAATTTATTTTATAAAATCAGAGACCAGGAACCGACATTTCCTATTGAAAGTCAAGTTCTAGTAATAACAAAAGAAGAGAGAACAACAGACTGTTAACGTCACATATGAACAGTTCTTCAGATAAACTATAACATAAACAACAGAACAGAACAAGTTTAACAAACTCTCCATCTCACTCCAAATCACTAAATCCATTCAATTCTTCATCCTCGGTGTCACTTCTGAACAACTCCTTGACCTCCGGAGGTAAACAGAGCGCCACCTCCTCTTCTGTGTCGCTGTCATCAGACTCAGCATCAGTTCCAGTTAGAATTGTTCGGGTCTTTCTGAATCCCGACAAGACGGTTTCGGTGTCACTGAAGTCCAGACTTTGTCCATCCATCCAATGACTTTAGGAAAGTTTCATGGTGCATCCTCCTGGTGTCACAAGTTTCTCGCTCACTCCAAACTTTCTTTCTGCTGCTCGATTCGTTTTCAGCTGCAGATTTCACCACTTTCAGCAGGACAGAGGCTCTTTCTGCAGGAGACATGCACAGTAGAACCAAGTGACAGTGGTACAATAGGAACAGGAGTAGCAGATACTGACACACAAAAAGCCTCTCGTGGCTGTCAGTGTAAAAATGTTAATATATAAGTTGCACCGGAGTATAAGGACTTAGCCTGATTCATCAGCCAGTTTCACTTTGCGGAAACCGTCTGACCTCATGGCGTTAGAATTCGTTCACTCGAGGGTGGCAGGTACTTTTTTTTATTTAACCAATCACTGCTATTTGGTTGTGATGTATGTAATGAGCCACTAACAAGACTAACTGGTATATTAAGCTTTTCCCAAATGCTGTAGGAAGAAGAGAATAACGTCTTTCCCCTTGATAAAATTCACCAAATATTCTCTTTGTTCCAGTTTTAAATCCTCGATCTCGGGAATCATTGCCAACACAGAATGTTTGGCTCGTCACTGATTGGCTGGTGCCCGAACTCGCACTTCTGGGGTTTTTGCGAATCGTCTGGTGTATTTTGATTCCTGACCTATTACTGGAGAGAAATTAAATTGAGTAGAGGCAGTAGGTGGTGCCAGCCTGGCTAATAAGGACCCCCCCCAAACTATGAAAAAAAGTGTGTCCTATAGTCCGAAAACACAGTACAGATTTACATATTTGATACGGTTTGTGGTTAAAGATACATTTCTGAAAGACTGAAACTGACTGATGTTTGTTGACTAAGGAACAAAAACAAAACTAGAAATCAGCTGTGAAGTTTCTGTGACATCACCACTGTATATATGTAAAGCAGTAACATCTCCAAGCAGATGACTCCACAAGAAAAGTTACATAGATCACCTTTAAAATAACATAAACTTATCCATTTGCTTTTTTTCCTCATTCAGGACACATAAAGAAACTGCGCTTTTGTGAATATCTTGGCAGGTCTGTATACTGTGACTGTAGGACTTCACTTGTCCCATTCTTTACATAGATTTTACCAGTCAAAAGCTTGGACACACCATTTCATTCAAAGTTTTCTCCTTTATTTTTAGTACTTTCTAGTTTTTTATACATACAGATGACATCAAAATCCTCAAAGTTGCCACCATTTTCTTTACTACATAACTAGGGTGTCCGGATTTTCAAGATCAAAAAACTGGGACACCCCTGGTTTATGGTGGTTGGTAATAATAAAACTGTACAGCGAGTGCATAATTAATTGTTCTGCTCTTGGCCCAATCATGACGAACATGTGACATGTGAGTGTAGTCACATTTTCTTTCTGTTTTGGTCATTTTTATTTTTAAGCATCCTTTTCTGTGTTTCATCTAAACAAATGACAATTTATACCTCTTTATACTGTTGGGAGGGATCAAATTTGACACCTGGGACATTTCTTGAATAAAACTGGGACAAATCAGTGGGTTTGGATAAGTCTGGGACTTGGGGACACAGGGCTCAAAACTGGGACTGTCCTGGGTAAATAGGGACATCTGGTCACCCTATAGATACAAGCGGCCATAATGAGTTTCCTCCGCTGGGTGGCTGGGTGCTCCCTCAGATAGTCACTCAGTCACACAGGAGGAGCTCGGAGTAGAGCCGCTGCTCCTCCACGTCGAGAGGAGTCAGCTGAGGCTCAAGCATCTGTTCCGGATGCCTCCTGGGCGCCTCCCTCAGGAGGTGTTCCGGGCATGTCCCACTGAAAGGAGGCCCCTGGGAAGACCCAGGACACGCTGGAGGGACTATGTCTCTTGCCTGGGAATGCCTCAGGGTCCTAGAGACCCTGCTTAGACTGTTGCCCCCGTGACCTGGCCCGGGTAAATGGAAGAAAATGGATGGATGGACAGAGGGTCACCCTATAAATAATCCCATATATCTTGCCTGATATATTTGATGTCGTCTGTGTGTATCTAAAATGTAGAAAGTAGTAAAAAATAATGAAGATAAAATGAGAATTAGGAAGTGTGTCCATACTTTGACTGGTTGCCAGTGGTGGAAGAAATACTCCAATTTGATACTCAAGTAAAATTGCAGATACTGGAGCAAAGAAATAATCAAGTAAAGGTAAAAGTATCACGTGAAATGAGTAAAAAGTAACAATACTGAAATCTAATCATCCTTCAAATGGAGGGATTTTGAGACATAAAAACATTTAAAATAAAATCCTCAACAGATCGAAACAAATCATTTTAAAAAATATACTTTTGTCTTGTACTTGTCAGTCTTGTTAAAAAAAATGTTGTGGAGTAAAAAGTTTAGACACCTGTTTCCTTATAACACCTTGTGTATCGCTGAGATATTTTTATTTCTTATTTTCTATTACATTTTGACTTGTACATATACATTTATATCACTATGCTTTATTTGACACCTGTCTTTTCATATTTTTCTTATTTAGAATATTGTATTATATGTATATTTTTTACACTTTGTTATATTATATTGTGACGTGTGAGCTATACCGTGTCCAAGTTATTTCCCTTGTGGATCAATAATATTTGTGTAAGTCTAAATGTAGAGAAGCATCCACTTTTCATTGTTTTTAAGTCAAGTACAGATACCTGCAGTGAGTGATTAATTACAGTACTTTTACTACTACTACTTTTACTTTGTTACCTTCTATATCACTGATGTTCTGCTGGTATCTTCAGGTATTTTTGTGCCTGCTGCCACACTGGAGCTGAAGCTGCGATCCCTGCCAGAGTTCTGTCCTCGTGGGATTTTAACAGGTCAGATATGAAACAGTTTTACTTTACATTTATTCAATTACAAGTGGTTTTATAGCTCAAAAATACCTAGAAAAAAAGACAGTAAGCGGGATCGCCTCTCTGCAGATCTGACCTGTAACTTGGTCTGGTTTGGTCTCCATGAAGATAGAAAGGTTTAATCCCATACTGTGAAACATTCAAGTCAAAGCAAAAACATCTCCACAGAGAAAGTTACACAATGCACCTTTAACATTTTGCTAAAAATGTTAATTAATTTGTCCCACTTTTGCAATATTTTAGGTTTCAAATTTTACATCCTGGTTGGAAATCATGATATCACTGTAGCGAATTCCATAACTTTTACCTAGCAACCATAAATGAGTCGAAATTCCACTAAAGTACACAGAAATTATGAAAATATAAGAAAACACCTTTATTTTGTTGAAATAAGGTTTAAAATTTCAGAAAAGCGTGTTGAGTAAATTTAAATTGTGCCAAACTGTGCAGTATTATCCCACCAAATTAAGTCAAAATGAGGGAATCATCAAAACCTGTTATACGCACTTTAACCTGCAGGTGGCGGTGTTTCTCATAAAAGAATAAATCAGTATTACAGTTGTTATCAGTAAAAGTCATATTTGATTTGAACATCATATCTGGGGGCAGTTATATCATGTTTGTGAAATAAAAAATCTTCCTTTACAGTCCGTTCATTAGTCACATCTTTAGGGTTGAATAATGGCTCCACTTTCTGAAACTACAAGGATTGTGATGTTGTAATGTCTTGTTAATCTGCAGGTATCCGGTCAGTGACTTCTCCAAGAATCTTCTGGACTGTGTTTGGTCTGAGCCGGTGTTGGACCTGTCCTTAGTCCCAGCGCACAGAGCCGCCAGAGAACTGCGCAGGTTTATGGTGAGTGCACACAAATGGACTTTAAGGTACACTTTACTGTCCCTGCAGGGGAAATGTGTCCTCTGCATTTGACCCATCCCAGTGTCTCTGGATTAAACCTGTGCTGGACTTTTCCAGAACGGCCATCCAGTGCAGTCAGCCGTACTAACAGCAGAGGGCGCTAATATGATAATGTGCCCTTGTCAAGCATAAATTGCAGGGCTGTTTTTTGGTCCCAGTCTGTCCCTGCAGTACTTGACCCGTCCTTCAGTGTCTCTGGGTTAAACCTGCATTTGACCCATCCTTCAGTGTCTTCAGATTAAGTCAAGATCTCCAGATCTTGAGCTAGTCTTGGTCAGGACTACTTAAACTGGAGGATTTGACCCATTGTGCATGTTTTGGGTTGATGGAAAGCGGACGCAGAGGAAACTCACCCAGACACAGTCAGAACATGCAAACTACCATCTCTTTTCATAAAAACAAACTCCAGACTGCCAGTTTTTTGCTTGTTTTCAACAACTTTCTATAAAAAATAATTTATACTACATACAAACGTGAGCCAACAGGAAGGTCCAAGTCTCTGGATCTGCTCTTTTGTTATTAACAGTTGGACAGCAGCAGTTTTGAACAAAAGCGGCCATTTTGAATCATAAAGCTGAGATAAATGCAACTGTATAAAACTTATAAAGTATATACAAATATATTATTTTAAACTTTCATATACTTTCTTTCATGTTCTGTTTTTAAAGCTTTTTAGCATGTTATAACTGTTTCCTTCTCATTTACCCTCTCAAAGTTGTATTTGGAGTGATGCATTTTTGAGTCATCTTTATTCTCCTCTATTCAAGAAATGTTCACCACCACAGGTACAAGCCCACTGTGCTGTACTCACTTTATTCCCCAATTTGATTTACTTAATCAGTGATAAGTGTAGGATTTGGCAGAGCACCTTTAACCTGACTCACACCAGACTTGATGTGTGTCACTCTGAATTGAGTTCTACATGATCCATCTGGAAGAGCTCTCTCTGAAAGCATTTAGAAAAAAGTCAGACTTGCAGCAAAATGCCTCGAGCTGATTGAGCAAATCACCTCAAAGTCTCCACCCACCAATTTCTTTTAGCCAATCACCGCAAACCTGTCAAAATGATGTAACCAACTTGAGCCAGATAAAACAAAAACAGGTGTCATGCTGGAAAGGTGAGATGTCCATACGATAATTCTCCCGTTTTTGCAATTGCACATTAAGGGTGTTAGAAGCCACTGTCACTGTCGCCGACATGTTTGTTCTGCTCAGTGTAGGCCGTAGACTGTATATATAATATATATACAGTCTATGGTGTAGACCTGGAGCTTGGGGTTGTCGTCATGTTGTCTGAAACTCCTCCTTCTGCCACAGAAGCCCTGTGATTGGGCCGACCACTGCTCAGGTCCAATTTAAACTGTACAGCGGGAGCACCTCAAGATGGATTCTCCAGATTTTTGTGAAAAAAGAATCCATCTTGCTGCACAAGCTTAGCGTCCCATAGTCATTTTGGTATAAATGAGCGAAAAATCTGCAGTTCACTCGCATGATGTGTAGCTATCCATTACAGGGGCCAGCAGCGTGTAGCGCTTTGTTGTGATGACTTCTTTCTTTTATTTATTTGTTTTAGATCAATATTACGATTTAAAATGTTGAAATACAACATAATGATCCATGGGTGTCACATATTATAACTATAGCAGACACAAGCACAGTGTGTCTTCTTTAATAAGTGATGGCAGACAAAGAGTTAAAACAAGTGCAACTAACAGTCTCAGTCTATCCACTTTATTTATATAGCACATTTTATAAACCTTATAACCTAATAAAAGACATTAAAGCATGAATAAAACAATAAATAAAATGTGTTTAAAGTCTGCGTGACACTAAACTGTATTGTGTATTTCAGGAGCTGCAGGGTCAGTTGGTGGGACTGAGAAAGCTGCTGAGAAGATGCAGATATTCTGAAAGGTAAAGGGACACTGTCAAAATGAACACCACAAAGACTTTGGCACAAACTGGAGGCGAAAAAAAATCAAACTCTAACAGGAAAGTTCCATAATGCACCTTTAAAATGACACTGAAATCTTTGTTCAGTTGATTCTCTTCTTCTTCTAGTGGAGTTTTACGGCAGCGGGCATCCTAACTGGTGCATTTGAAGACACCTACTGCTTTTACAGTTCTCAGTGCACATTATGCGCAGTGATAAGTGTGAAGTAAAGCCATGTCCATTTAATGTTCTTCTTATTCTCTCAACAAAACAGTTATAAAATACTCACACCCAGTTCTAAGCCCCAGCCATCAATTTTCTACCCTAACTTCTCCTTCAGCGTGTCTTCCAAATGGTCCCCTGTGATATTTCAACCATCCACAATCCTCCGTGCTGCATCCAGGATCATGACCACAGGGTTGGATGTTTGCTGCACCTCTGATATACAACTGACAATGAAAGCAATGAACACCATATTTTTTATCCACACACAAACATTTTTGAACAGGCCCATCTTCTTCCCTTTTCTTCACTCGTTCCACAGCCTCTGCATATGAAAGCTTTTTTCCTCTCTCAAACGGTTTGCTTTAACTTCCAGATTTTTCCGTGGACACTCATTAGATCCAGCACGATGTTTCCCAGAACAATGTGCACACAAGGGGTCCATGTCGACGAACTCACATTCTTCATCCACACGTCTGTCACTTCCACATCTTGCACAACTTTTAACACCCGCACTAGGGATGTCTTGATCACATTTTTTTGCCCCCGAGTCCGAGTCCTTTGATTTTGAGTATATGCCTATACCGAGTCCCGATCCGATACTTCTATAAAACATTATGAAATGAACTAAGAGCAAATAATAAGATCCAGGATGTGTGGAGGGATCAGACTGTATTGATTTCAAAGTGTAGTATTTGGGCTGAATTTAGTGTGAAAAATCAAATGTCCAAAACTTTTATTTTATTAACTTTTCTAACCATTCACCATCATTGCTGAAAATCTTGACTTTTACCACAGTCTGGTCTTGGAATGTGTAACTTAGTTTAGTTAATGAACTGGACAAAACAGGAACCAGACCAGAATCAGATCAGACCAGAGACTCGACTCTGCACAATCGACACTGTATATTTGATATTATATGTTTGCATGTGCATTACATTTGAAACATTTAGGCTCGTCTATGAAATCCAAATAATACAAAATCTTACCAATTAAAAACGAGATGACAGAAACCCCACAGCCTTACTCCCTCGGGCCGCCCCCACTCCCCGCACCGCCACCACATCCACAAACCCACAGTGGAGTAAAACTTTGGTCCCACCGCTCAATAGACACTCCACACCGCTGGACGGACCCTCTCCTCCGCCAAAAGCGCCAGCTCCACTGCTCAACATGCGCACATGCAGCAGCAGGCGCTGGGACAGACAGTCACACTAATTGGACGTCCCTGAGCAAATCCCACGCCTCAGTTAAAAAAAAAATTTTAACTGTTGTGTGCTGCGTGTCCTGTGTGCACTATGTGTGATATACATATACTATTTATCCGATACCTGATCGGAACATAACGTCCTAGTCTGGATCGAGTCCACAGTCAGGTGATCGGCGCCGATTTCCGATCACGTGATCGGATCGGGACAACCCTAACCCGTACACACTGTGGCCACATGATCACACTCCTGACAGGAGAAACACCTGAAAGAGCCCGATTGAAAGGGCCTCACTCTGTAAGACACATTATCCAGGAACACGCGCTCTGGTAATTCCCCCTCAAATCTGTCTGTCAAAGCTGTCTTCTGTCGTCTCTGAATCTGTTGAGTCTCCAGGCATCGCGAACACCAGAAATCTTCAAATTCACTTGCTTCCACACAGGTAGGACACCACTGATCGTTCTTTTGTTCCCACTAAGACAAAAACAACGGACCAGTGCATCCATACCTCAATTTTTAATGCTCTATCTCTTTGCTTCTTTGTATATATTCTATAATGACCATTCCACCTCTAGTCACTCGAACTGAACCAACTTCTCACCACTTTCACACAAACTTTCCTATGTCGTGAGGATTGCTAAAAACCCCATCTTTTTTGATGAAGACAGTCATACCAACAAGGAATGATTCTTCCGTATCCGTTTGACTAGATTCTCTCAATAAACTTTTCTTTTTCCTCTTCTTTTTATTTTCCATTTGTTTACGAATTGTAACATTGTTTTCAGATTCACACACAGTCTCCATGCTCCTCGATATTTCGCCTTCTCAGAAGATTTCCATTAGTTCTCGCTCAGCTCCCAGTTGATTCTATGTTGTTTCCTCAGGGTTTTGAAGGAGTTTGAGGTACTTCCTGGTCACCTGACTCAGCAGCCTCCTCTCGTCTCAATGGCTGATCTTCTCCGAGTGAAAAAAGGTTCCCTCATGTCCCAGGCCAAAGCTGTGAGGCACTCTGCTCACCAACATGTACTGCACTGTCCACACTGCAGGGGGCGCCATGTCTTCAATCCTTAATTCACTCGAATAATCCACTTTAGAGTGCTTTGGCTACTGTCTAGAACCCACACCTCACAGCAACAAGTTTCTGGGTTCGAGTCACCCAGGTCTTTGTGTGTGGAGTTTGCATGTTCTACTTGTGTCTGGCTGGGTTTCCTCCATCCACCCGAAACACGCACCATAGGTCACATCCTCCAGCTAAAGTCCTGATCAAGACTAGACCAAGATCTGGAGATGGTCCCACTGCTCTTGACACATTTAACTCAGAGACACTGAAGGGCGCCTCAAATGTATAGGACACATACACGGGGACAAGAAAGTGGGTTTAATTGTGTCAAATGTTGTTTGGTTTAGCTGTACGTTTGACTGAAAGTTTTTCATTCTGCACTCTTCTCTCTCATTTAATGTCTCTCTCTTTCTTTTTTAATTTTATGATGATTATTTATGTTATGATTTGTTTGTATTGTGATTTTAATGTATTTCTTATTCTGTAAAGCACTTTGAATGACTTTACAAATAAACTTCCCTTGCCACAGCTAATGTAATACCAATTATTCACTTATTACATTCAAAATGGGCTAAAATTATTATGTTATTGGAGATTATTACATTAAAGGTTCCTACAGTGTCTCCATGGTAACCGCTGTAATCCTTCGACACACATGCAGTACACTCCCATGTTAGAAATGCAGTGTGACCAGATCTTCAAAATTCCAGACTGGGACACACCTGGGTCTGGATGGTTTGGATGGTTGGTATAATTAAAACAGTAAAAAGAGCACGTAACATTGTGTGTCCTCGACTCACTTGTGATCAGTGTAATCTGAAGGACTTCTGTCTTTTTGCCTTATGGTCATTTTAAGTTAACTTTTTCTGTATTTTGGCTAAACAAATTCAATATATTCCCACTTTACGTTGGCGGGCAGCAGACTGGTCATAAATATGGACACCGGGGACATTTCTTGTGTAAAACTGAGATAAATCACTGGTTTTGTATAAATCTGCTGGGACACAGGAAACAGGGCTCAAAACTGGGACTGTCTCTTGTACATAAAGACATCTGGTTTAATCCTGTTTTAGTCGTGGTTGAGATCTCAGTTGGTTCACAGATTTCAGATGGCGCTGTCTGCCTCCACTTATGGTAAATACTGATGCTATATTTTACAACTCTACAATGAATTTAAGATTTTGAGACAAAAGAAAACACATAAAACACATTGATTTCAGAATGTATTTGTGATTGAAAAGTTCCAGTGTAAAGATGGTGCTGTTTGTCTTCATCATTATATAACCAGTGTTCCTCATTCTGTGGCCCTGAGCAACTTTTACAATTCTGATTCAAGTCGACACAAAACACAGTTCCACAGAAACACAGAGCACACACACCATCACTGCTCCAATCTGACATGACATTTAGAGCACACACTTACATACACTTACTTTACATGCTTTACACTTACTTTACATACTTTACAAATACATTGGAAATGAAAGTTGAAATAAAGTTAGTGAAAGCAGCGTCTAAAGTTAAATATGTAGAGATTAGAAAATATATAGTAAAAGTAGGAATTAGTAATAGTAGTAGTATTTATAATATTTTTGTAATTCTAGTTTTAGAATAATTTAGTATCTTTTTTTATTCCCTCATGAAGAGACTTTTATCTGAATAGTTAAAAATACAAGACGCAAATTTGATCCCAAACTGTGGAGAACAAAGCTGCTATTTGAGATTAAGGAAATGTGCAGTGGTTTCAGTAATATTAACCCAGATCCCAGTGTAGAGAGGCTGAGTGAACTTGGTCTGGACTCTGTGGAGGAGGCTCATGGTACTTCCAGAGACGCTGTAAAATGCCAAAACCCCTGCACTGTGGTTCAGGTAAACCCCGATTCTGGACCCGACCGGACCTGAGACCTGGGACTGGACTTTGTTAAAACGAAATGAATAACTGTTATATTTACACTCCAAGGCCCAGGATTTATCATCGTATCCAAATGTACAGTCTCCTTTCCTCTGAATATCTCTGTATGAAACTGCTATAAGAGTACATTTCCCGCTCCACTCCACCTCCCAGTAACAGCGACCCGTCAGACTCTCTCTGCTCAGGACCTGACACACATTGAATCTGTCTGGATGATCTGGATATCTCTGGGGTTTACTTATAACTGTTACTCTTCTGTTTCCATCAGACAGAGACAGGAGGGTGTGAGCTGTGTTTGGGTCCAGAGTGATTTCTGTAGAATATTGTAAGAAGTCGTCTCTGGAGCTGGGTTCAGCTGGTGGCAGTAAAACCTCGACTGGACTCAGAGTAAGCTGGAGTGTGTCTCTGAGCTTGGACACAGCTCTGGTCACTTCCTCAAAGTAGCTCAGGTCTCCTCTGTGAATGGTGTCTGGCTCTATGCCCTGTGTGTGTGGGGACAGTGAAGCGTAGATCTGTATAAACTGGTTATGATCCTGGGTGAGGGCCAGTGTGTCCAGCTCAGAGAGGCTCCTCTTCAGCCCCCTCACGTCCTGCTGCGTTGGTCCTGGAGCTCTTGGACTCGGCTCAGTTGGGTCTGCTCCTGGGAGCGGATCTGCTGCTCCACTTCAGAGCGTCTTTTCTTCAGGAGAAGGGCCATCTGTGTGAAGCTGTCCCCGCTGTGCTGCACTGCTGTCTGGGCAGAGTGTCTGATGTCCTGGGCCTCCTGTTGGAGCCTCTTCAGGTCTGTCTCTTTGTGCTGGAGGCTCTGGAGCAGCAGGGCCCTCCTGGCCGGCAGCTCTGCCTGCCTCTGAGCCCTCTCTGAGGCAGAGGTCACTATGTCATGACCCTCATGTTGGTCCACACACAAGGAGCAGAGCAGCTGCTGGTTACTGCGGCAGAATAGTTCCATCAGTCTGTGGTGTTCAGAGCAGATGTTTTCCTGGAGCGTGTGAGACGGCTCCACCAGTTGATGTTTCTTAAGCGCTGCAGCTTCATGATGAGGCTGTAGGTGGCGCTCACAGTAAGAGGCCACACACTGCAGACAGGACTGGACAGCTCTCAGCTTCCTCCCAGTGCACACATCACAGGACACTTCCTGAGGTCCGGCATAGCAGTGGGCAGCAGGGGGCGCTGTCTTCTTCATCTGCTCTACTACAGCTGCTAACATGATGTTTTTAACCAGGACAGGCCTGGGGCTGAAGCTGAGGCGACATTCAGGACAGCTGTAGAGCTGCTTGTCGTCCTCTTGGTCCCAGTGCTGTTGGACACAGTTCCTGCAGTAGCTGTGTCCACAGGGAATAGTCACAGGATCCTTCAGTAGATCCAAACACACGGAGCAGGAAAAGGCTTCTTGGTCGAGTGTTTTCTGCGCCATCTCTCCTGGATCACAAAAACTTGGACTTTGACACAAACAAAACTTCAGAATGGAGTGAGAGGTGTGGGAGGAGCCACACCCACAGCTCTGTGTAGATGTGAGGAGGAAGTGGCAGCTCTTAAAGACACACACACGTTTTATCAGAGTTGAAATGAGAGTGTGTGACAGTTTACAGTCACAGACACAGGGTCATTGGGCACAAGTCAAACTCTCCAAAAGAGAATCAAAGAGGAACACAGTGTAAAGGATCAGTGTAGTGCCACAGTGCTTTGGTGTGAGGAGACAGGATTTCTAAACGTATCAACAAACATCATCTTCATCAGGCTCTTTCTAGAAGGACATGTGTGTTTATTGGTTCTGTCCTGGTTTAGTCTCAGTCTAGACCAGTTGGGCTTTGAACTGGTGTAAATCTGTTCAGTCCTGTTTTAGACAGCTTTAGTAAGCTTTGCCTTCTTTAATATTATTTTTAGTGCAATGTCTCCCTCTTGTGGTTATTTTGGGTCAGTTTTTTATATTTACAGAGGGGGGAAAATGCTATTTTTTTCTTATATAACACTATTACCTCCAAAACAACATGCCTGAAGAGGTTCTAGATGTCATCCATGCATGTTTTAATAATTTAGTGATCTCTCCATTGTTTTGGGGTGAATCTACCATTTTGAAAAGAATCCAAGGTCACACTGGACTATGAACAGAACACACAACACATCTAAATGTGTTGTGTGTTCTGTTCATAGTCCAGACAAGTGTAATAGTGCGTCTTTAAGATCTCACTCACTTTTGATGTGTCTTGCATGTGGCTCTAATGTTCATCTTGTGCACCTAACAGTCTGTGGGACACTTCACTATATTAGGCCTGTCCCCAGAACACATTTGGGAGACGATATATCGCAAAAGAAAAATACTGCGATAAACGATAATGCTCAAACCACTTTATTCCACTGACACAATAAGAGGAAAGTGAGACAATCCTAGTGACGCATTTTGAAAGAGACGTGATCATTAAAAAGCCTGAGCTGCAACAAATACACAACAGAATGGAGCAAGAATTCTCCAGAAAAGTCACTTCTTCAAACTTTGACACCTCAAAAATACTCCAAATCTCCCACTTTTACACAGAAAATGTACCCACAATAAATACTGACACCCAAAATATATTGTTCCAGCTCATCAATGGTGGAAGAGAACTAAGTAAAAGTAGTAAAATACTCTACTTAAGTACAAATGTTACATATCTGTACTTTACTTAAGCACATTGAAAACTTTTACTTCACTACATTTGAAACCAGATATAGGTACTTTTAATTTATTTATTTTTTCATTATTTTTTTATTAAGACCTGCTGAAAAGCCTGAGTTTTTATTTATTTATTTATTTATTTATTTATTACTATTTTATAAATCAAAATCATTGTTTGATCAAACAAAAATATACAAATAAAAACAGAGAGAAAACAAAGAATTCAGTTGTTTCAGTTTGATAAACTTCAGGACAAAATCACTACATTTGAAGTGTTATTAGTTATTACTGTTACTTAAGTAGATATTTTCACGTGATACTTTTACTGCAGTATTCTTTTGCTACTTTTACTACTACTACTACAACTACTACTACAACTACCACTACAACTACTACTTCAACCTCTAGTACAACTATTACTATTACTACTACCACCAGCACCACCACCACTACTACTACTACTACTACTACTACTACTACTACTACTACTACTACTACTACTACTACTACTACTACTACTACTACTGCTGCTGCTGCTGCTGCTGCTGCTACTACTATTACTACTACAACTACTACTTCTATACTACAACTTCAGCTAGTACTATACTACTGTTACTACTTCAACCACTACTACAACTCTACTACTACAACAACAACTACTACTACTTCACTACTACTACTACTACTACTACTACTACTACTACTACTCTACTTCAACCATTACTACTACTGCTACTACTTCAACCACTACTACGGCTGGTACTACTTCAACCACCAACACTACTACTACTACTTCAACTACTTCAACTACTTCAACTACTACTACTACTACTACTGCTATTACTTCATTACTTCAACCATTACGACTACTGCTACTACTTCAACCACTACTACGGCTGGTACTACTTCAACCACCAACACTACTACTACTA